TGCTAAAATGTTGGGCGACTCGAATGTTTGGAAGAGAGCAGGGTCACAGCTTTGGACGACTGCATAGCAATTCATTCGCTCAAATCTTGGGCGACTTGCAACCTTGGGCGATGGTATTACCGCGTTCATGGGCTTCCCTATTTGGGCATTTATCCTGCATTGCCTGATTGAGTCGTTCTTTGGGCTATTTGATTTTGGGGATCTTCCAATTGGACTTCATTCCTTGGGTTATTCGACTTGGGCTGAACTTTTTATGTGTCAACAGTTAGATAGATGTTTGTTAGGAACATATATTGTGGATCGATTGACATAATATTTTAATTGATAATTTTCTTTGAATAATAACTGAACACTTCTCATGTATTTATCGTAAAAAAAAATTGTAAACATAATTTGCAAATCCGTATGCTTCTCATGTATTTATCGTAAAAAAAAATTGTAACCATAATTTGTAAATCCGTATGCTTCTCATGTATTTATCGTAATTTTTATGATTCTCCCCCTCCCAAAATAAATAAATTGGTTAGCATCATTAGCAAAAATAACAAAATGACTTTCTGTATGGAAAGTGACGAACTTGATGAATCGATTATGTAGGGGTCTGTTAGCTACATCTGCACTCACATCCATGATGGGAAATGAGAAAAAGGGTTTACACCATGAATATAGTTGAGCCCGTGCATACATCCCCATATTTCATATAAGCACATGCTAAAAAAACATTAATTTGTCGAGAAAAATCATTCATACATATGTAAATATTCATAATGTGTTTGGTACGTTAAATAAAAAAAATACTAAAACAAGTCATATGACATGACTATTATTTCATTAATCCTACTTGATTGTGCCACGAATATTGCCAGATCATCACGAGATGTAATAATAACCTAGAAATTTTTCAAAAATTGTGGCCTTGAACTAATATGATATGTCGTAGAACTTGAAAATACACGAGTGGCAACAAAGGCATAACTTGTGCCATAATTTATGTATGGACTAAGTTTTTGTCGAATACTGAACTAATTGTGGCACATGACCCACAACATTCGTCCTATGAAGACCCAATATATATATATCTTCAAATTGACTTTTTCAATTTTTTTTTTTTATATAGTAATTTAACGTGAGCACCTTTTTAAGTCTGAGAAATAAGTTGGTACCGATCAATGTTTATTCATTATGTCGAAAAGTTAAATTATTAGAGAAGAATCGAATCTTGTCTTTAACATGCTTTCTTATATGTATTCTGAATATATTTTTCAATCAATCGTTCAGAATTTGCATAATTTCTCATAAATGGATGGTAACGAAATTTGAACCTCGATTTTTTGCATGACTTTAGTATGTATTAACTATCTTATTTAAAAGTTCAAACTTTTAGAGTAACGGATAGAAGTTTAAATTTGTCTTAGATTATGTAACTCATGTTTGGTTTAACTTAAAATTAATTTTTTTTAGTAAATTTTGATAAAAATTGATAAAATGTTGATTGAAAAATTGATAAAAGTAGTGAGTCCCAATAAATATGATTGAAAAAGAATTTAAAGAAAAATGAGTTGTAATAATGGCGACAAAGAGAGGGCTTATAGAGGTTAACACTGGGTTATAATTGATATGATTACACTTTCAAATTAATTTAAGTCGTGATCACCTTTTTAGTAGTCAAGATATGATAATTGTACCTATTTCTGAATAATGCTATTTGTACATATAAAGTTACATAATGATTTATGCATAAATGATGTATCAAAAAGAGAGTAAGAATTTATTTATTTATTTATTTTTAATTTGATTGAAGAAATATTGACACAATCATTTCTCACAACATCATATCCATATTTGATGTCCATTATTTGACAAAAACATAATTTTGAATAATGAATTTTTGAAGAATGGGTATTTTAAATATAAAAAAAATTAAATTTATGTGTAAAATATTTTATTGTATGAATGTATACTAAAAAATCGATATATAGAATAAAGAGTTTTGAAATAATAGTTATCAAACATGTGCCATATGTACATAAACCATTATGTACATGCAGTACAACTGTATCAGAAATGATATTAGGGTTTTTTAGACTAATGCTTAATTGTTTAATTGATTGATTGTAGGTTGGTGTTTGGAATAGAGAGAAAAGAAGGAGAGAACTCTCATAGTGAATAAAAATTTTGAATTTTCAATTCATGACTTCCGACTAATAAAATAAAACCTTACCAATTTAAAGGAAAATAAGAAATACACAATTTTGTTGCATGAACTTTATGTAAACGGAACAATTAAAAGCATAATTTTATTTAAAAGAAAAAAAATATATTTTTCCTACTAAAGTTTAAAGACAATGAATAGCATAGTACTACACTCAGAGATATAACACATAAGTAAAAGAAGATCAAGATTCACTTGGGAGAAGCTTAGAAAATTAATATGTTTCTCTCTTGTGAATTATTGTTTCCTAAAACATTCAATTGCAATAAAATATTAATTTTGGGTCACTGTCAGTGATGTCTTCAAGAAATAACTGAAGATCATTCAACGAATAAAATTATAAAAAATAGTGAATCAGTTGACTGCTACTCGATCATCCCAACCAACGTGCCATGCGTCTTCATCAGCAGAAGCTCCATAAGGGGATATCAATGTCTTCATAAGAATCTTCCATGATTAATGGATCAAAGAATGCTCCATTGAGGATATCTGTGTACTTGGGGGAATCAAAGTTGTACCATGAGGTCATTATAGGTTCATCTGCAACATAGGGTACCGTGTAATCATTGATCAATGGTGGTGCTAGTGAGACATCATCATCTTCAATGAGGCTGCAGACAGGTGATGAAGAAGATAAAGTTGGAGATGGGGTGGCAGGTGGTGGCGCTGAGGCTGATGATGTGGAAGAGACGGGCGGTCCCGGCAGAGGAAAACCACCATTAGCGGCGGAGGCTGCCACCCTTTGGATGGACTTAGGGGACATGATGGTATCAGGGTTGAAGTTTTGCGATTTGGATATTGGGAAGTTAAAATTGGCTGAAGTTCCCTTAAGGCATAAAAGTGCAGCATCATATGCCCTGGCAGCTGCCTCTGGTGTTGAATATGAACCCAACCATATTCTTGTCTTTTGGTTTGGTGCCCTTATTTCTGACACCCAAGATCCCCAGCTTCTCATTCTAACTCCCTTGTACTTCTTTTTGCATAACGAAGACGAGGGCGACGGCGACGGCGACAAAACTTCTTTGGCCACCCCTGATTGGATATTTTGGTCTTTCTTCACCATTCTTGGATACCTAGAAGAATCAATATTTGTGTCGTCTCACAATGTCCTAGACTCAACTCTTGTGTTACTTGAATTGCAATTGGACCCCAAGTCTTGAATCTGAGGGACCTTTCCAAGTGAATATGGGATGACTTAAAATGGGTGAAAAATCAATGAAGGGTTTCTCTTTTTTCGTATATCTAATAAGGATAATGCAATTGGGAAGTGATTGTGTAGGAGAAAAGATTGATATTTATAGATCCCCTTTTGGGGTTTGATGTGAAGAACAGATCTATTTGGTCAAGGATAGTAAAGTCTTCATGTAACATCAAATGGGTGACATATATTTTTAAACAAATTAATTAAATAAAGTATACCAATGACTTTTCTGGCCCATGGTAAAAACACCCCATTGCACCTAGCTATTGTAACTTCTAATGCTTTTTGATAGATTTAGCCACCATTTGAGATTCATTTTTGGGCAAAGTGTGTCTTAGAATGGTGATTTTTTTAAGAATGCATGGTTAGAAAACAAAGAAAATTTTTGGGTTTATGCGTACAATTATTTATGGAAGAATCTATAATTAAAAATGAGTTTAAAAAAAAAAAAAAAAAGAGCTCAAACAAGAGCTTAAAATAGGAACTCTGGATCATTTTTCGACGCTCAATTTCATTTTTTTTTTTTTTTTGTTACATTTACTTCAAGATATCATGAGTTGATACGTATTTTCATTTTAACATTTTAATGTCTCAAACTCGAGGACAAAACATAGTTAATTTGACCTAGAGAATATAATCTTTATGACCAAGTTGAAGAGAAATATGAAGGTTCTCCTTCGTTTCCTCACCAATTATGCTTGAGTACAGCTGAGAAGTGTCAAGTTTTTCAAAAACTACCCCATCACACATGTGCTAAGTATAGGTACATTTAGCAGTCCGTATTGCATAAATCAGCAATGAAACTTTAATTAATATATTTTCTCAATATTCATTCTTGACTAACTCCACAAGTCACTTCCATTGACACACAGAAAATGTAATTTAGAGTAAAATTTGAATTCTTGACCTTAGGCTTAGGGCCACTGATCAGTCTTTTGACCACATGGGTTTTTAATTTAGCTATTCATAAATAAAATATGAACGATTGGAAATTCAAGAAGTTCAAAGGAGCATCCCATTTTGCGTAAAGCTTAAATGGGTAATTAGATTTCAAGATTAATATTCTTGAAAGCTCAAAAATCAGTATCGCTTTAGAGCACAATAAGCTAAAACTACTAGTTTGATGGGTCTAATTAAGTCTCGATTAAAAATAAAGTCAAAATCAATATTTAATTTTAATCACATATTTCATAAAATCGCCAACTTTTAAATCTTATATTTCATCAATTTTTGTCAAAATTTACTAAAATTTTTATTTTTAATCTCCACCGAGCAAGGGCTGAAGCTCAAAATATAGTCAAATTTTAAGGTCATGTTCTCGGAGGTTAGGTTATGTACTTTTATTATAGGTGCATATCCATGTCTTTTAAAATGGAATATATGAAAATAATTTTACACGCAAAATTCAAAAATTTTTCGTACTTTTTAATCGATAGTTCACTTAAAAATTATTATTTAAAATTTTTTTTTTCGAAAAAACGGATCTCATACATAGTGATAGTAATCTCTCTCTACACCTATGTGTGTGTATAATATATGGGAATATAATAATGCATGCTAGAAAGTGAAAAATAAGGATTCTATGAAATGCAACTTCCAGGATTCTGCTGGATGCTTACGGGAGTGTGCTTCTCTCAGAATAATCCATACCAAAAGTAATCAAGAAAACAAAAATAAGTACGCGCTTAGTATTAATTATAAGCAGAAAAAGGAAAAGAAAAACAGCTGGTGCTTCTCTGTCTTGCATGTATCTCTCAAAACGCGTTATATATATGTGCATCTGATGGAATTGAATAAAGAATGTGCAGAAATGCAACCGCTTGATGGACTAAAAGCTGACGCCTACACGATTTGACTTTTGCTCTCCAAATTTTCTTCGTATTGAGATGAATTCACTTGGCTAATTGGCAAAAACGTTCCTACCTTTCAAAGTAATTGTGTAAAACGTTCCTATTTTTTATTTTTTTTGACATTTTTGTCCTTATTTCCACCTTTTATTGCGCAAAATGTCTTTTTCATCCATTTTTCAATAAAATGACGATTTTACCCCCGATTCAAATAAAACAAAAATAAAACAAAACAAAAAATAAATGACTAATTGCAATCACAAATCTAATTTTTTCAAAATATTATAGCTTAGTCCTAAATTCTCCTCCACCACCACTTTCACAACTCTATCAAGCTTCCGCCACAATGCTGTAATTTCGACAAACAAGTGTTGTAATTTATGCAATTGAGCGATTACCCAATGCTTTTTGACCTTGAATTTCATTTCCCCCCATGTTGATTTGTGTATTGAATCACATTTGCCCCATGAATTGATGGAGGAAAACCTCCTCCACGCGGGCAAGTTGTTCTTGAGGCCAAATAAAAAATTACTTCGTCTGATTGGTAAATTGCAACAATTGATTCAGTAACCATGGCCGTTTCACCTTGAATTGTGTGCTGGTTGGAGCAATTGATTAATTGTAGATGTGAAAGAAAATCAATCAAAAGGGAATCGGGCTGGTTGAAGCGCGAGTTCCTTTCCCCTAAGTAAACTGTCATTTCTAGGCCAAATTGGGGACGACCCATATGTTCATTGGATGCACCATGAAGAGTAGGTGCTTGTATTGGTGGTCCGCAATCATGGGTCCCACCACCGTCGTCGAAAAATTCGTCTGAAAATTGCACAGTCGCTGTGTTCGAAGATGAGCCTGCTGGTTTTGATTCTATGTGTTTATGGATGATTGGTGACCATAGAAAGGGACGTCTTAATGTGTATAATTCACTGGAATGTTGGGCATGACATGGGTGTTGTCGAAATTGGAGATTTTGGCTTGATTTTGTCAGAATCGAAGTTGTATAGTCACTGTGTTTTGGCTTGATTTTTCGGCGAATTCAGATGGGTTTGAGGTAGGGGAGAGTGAGGTGAGGCTGGTGGTGGTGGAGTCCGATAGGAGTGGTGGCCGGAAGGTGGCAAGGTTATGAAAGTGGTGGTGGAGGAGAATTGAAGATTAAGTTGTGATGTTTTGAAAAATTTAGTATTGTGATTGCAATTAGTTATTTACTTTTTGTTTTATTTGAATCGGGAGTAAAATCGTCATTTTATTGGAAAAATTGGTGAAAATGACAATTTGCATAATGAAATGTGGAAATAGGGGCAAAAATGTCAAAAAATGAAATGTATGTACATAATTACCTTGAAAGGTAAAGACGTTTTATGCCAATTACCCAATTCACTTATGGTTAGGTACAACTAAAAGATAATCACTTTTTGCTTTGGGAAAAGCTATTATACACACAAATGAACATGTTGACTAACATGCATCTTTTGGAACAAAATTCCTTGAGTGATCCTCTACATACCGACAACATTTTTACGGAATGGCCACAAAATACTCACAAGGGGGTGGTTGGGTGATTTTTTTTTTTGCATTTTTTTATTACACCATGGGATCCATCCATATGAGTGTCTGGAGAAATTCTGTGAGGAAAATTTTTGTACAAACAGTATTTTTGAAATTCCTTTCCGACGTGGGGCAATGAGTTCACGTATGGAGTAAGGTATTGACTGGCTTGAGATGCCCACCGTAGCGCTATTCAGACACGAACCGACACATATATACAACCTTACATGAAAAGATCATGGAAACGATCAAATTAGAGTTGTTCATAGATTCTGCAACTGCCTATTTTATGATGTGAACAAATTATAAAAATTTAATGCAGCATAGGACTACTCGATCTAGAGCCGATTCACTTTTACACCTTTATATGAAAAGATCGTGCAACAATCAATTTGAGGTGTGCATCTTTCACTTTTGACTAGATGTTGATCATTGTTGCAAGGGCATTCCTATTAAAGCCTATATTGACCAAATCAAGCAAGGTGATATTAGTCTTAAAAAGGTCTATCGATGGTGTGTAAGTTTAATCAAATGCCTAACACGTGAAGTTTTTAAACTAGGTATCTTGAAACTTAAATTTGAAAATTTTATTTGATCTTTGAACTACTTTACCTAGAAAATTAGATTACTAAAGACGGAGCTCATGTTTTCCGTAAATTCAAAGTTGAAAAAAAAATTAAATTAAAATCAATAATGAATTTTAACCACACATTTCATGGTATTCATGTTTTTCAATAATATATTTCATTAACTTTTGTCAAAACTCTAAAAATTTGATTTTAATCTACACCAAACAGGGATGTAATAAATAAAGTTTAATTTCAACAACTTCTAATTCAATGAGACTTAGCCCCTGTCTGTTTTATATAAAAATCAGATATTTATTAGAGTTCGATAAAAGTTGATGAATGGCGTGATTAAAAAATTATGAATTTCATAAATTGTGCAATAAGAATTAATTATTGATTTTCATTTAAATTTCAAACTATCATTTTAGTTCAACCACACGCTGAATTAAACTTTTTCAAACAAGTTGTCTGAAATGCCGCCACCTTCGACCTCAATCCTAGCTAAGCTTTCCCCTATATTATGTTTTGATGAGATAATATCAGATAACAAAAGTAGCTATGTTTGCTTCTATTTTTGGTGTAAAACGAGCAAACAATCTCTCTATACCAACATTTTGAATCTTATCGTTTTAGTGTGTTGCTAATACTGTTTTACTTTAAGAATATCGGAAAGGTGAATGTCCAGCTAATCCTGGTGGTCCAGGTCTTGTTCAAATGTTCTTTTCTAGATGTCAGATAGTTCTATGATCTGCTTTAGGAAGTTCTTTTGTCACTTTAAGCTCTCATTGCATCAAGAAATCGATCAATGCTTTGTGCTTCTTCAAATATCAAAACCGTCATTTCTGCTTTCAGGGATCAATATCTGTTAGCATGTCTATATATCAAACACTCTTCTGTTTCATCTGTACTCATCTCACGTCAGGTGAGAAGGATGCCAATGTAGCCAAAAGAATCATTGATGTCCAAGAAATACATAGACGGACGCACTTTAATTCACTTTCTAGTTTTGGACTTCCTAAAAGCATCCATGACCATGAGTAAGTATACGGAGTTCTACCCATTTAGACGAGGTATTTGAGGAGAAACTTGGATACTTATAGTTTGCAAATAATAGCAACGTGGGGGAGATGATTTGATATCTGCTACATGCTAAAGGCAGCAATTGGTGGAGGGAAATGATATAAATTTTATAAATAATCTGTCATGAATGTCAAATAAAATTAAGAACTAAAAGAGTTCAAATTTCACCAATGATTCTTGACCATTACCTGATCATTGGTTCTCTGATTCCATGCTTTAGTTGATTCTAGATTTTGAGAGTCTTCTAGAATGTTGTTTAATTTCATATTCTAATAAATCGATAAAGGCTGTTTTCTCCGACTGATATATTGAATTTTTTTGAAAGCTCATCCTTTATTATAGTGATGTCTTTGTTCCAGCTTTCCACTAAAATGGAAGCTTCATTTTCGAATATGGGATTTGAATTAGATTTCTTCTATTTTCACCTAAATTTGTTTATATGCGTTATACTGAACCTATGCTAGTGGATAGTAGACTTGTAATGGTGTTAAGGAAATTTTATAGAGGTATGATTTTAAATTCCAAGTGCTGATATTTGAAGGATCACCTCCAATTTTCTTATTTATAGCTCCACTTGAAATCACTTTTATTGGAATAAACGTCCATTTCATTACTAGATTTTCTGTAACTTTTTTTTATCTAACTGCAGGAAGATAATCTGGCTTGGGGATCTAAATTATCGTATTAATTTGTCATATGAGAAAACAAGAGAGCTAATTTTGAAGGAGGACTGGGCTAAGTTAGGTGAGCATGATCAGGTGATTTTTTATTTATCTTGATCTTATTACTTTCCTAAGGTAGATTGAAATATCAAAAGTAAAGTCTTGTTATGTGCTATGTGTTTTTTTCTCTGCTAGTCAATTTATTTTCTAGATCTAGCTGAGGCAACTCATGCATGTATATGCACATAAATATTTTTTAGAGGAATACAACAAAATCGGGGAAAAACAGTAATAAGCCAAAAGGTGTCGAACTGAAATGTACTTTTGGCTTATACTTTGATTTGATTAGTATTTGTATAAAGAAAAAAACAGTTCATATGTTATTTTTCATATTTTCAAATTGATGTTGACACCTTTCTCTTTTGGCAGCTCATCAGAGAGCTTACGAAAGGTCGGGCATTTTATGGATGGTCTGAAGGTACTTTGAACTTTGCTCCAACTTACAAATATCAGACAAATTCAGATACATACTGTGGGGAGGATTCAAGGACTGGGAGGCGCACTCCAGCATGGTATATATGTAGAACTTTTGCTTATTGTGGTCTTGACACTTCCACTGAAATATATCCTTTTTTTTTTTTTTTTTTAAAGATGCAAGAACTATTCTCTGAAAATACATCCATAGAGATTTTTTTATTTTTTATTTTTTGTCTATGTTCTCTTTCTATTTTGTCGACTAGTCTTGAGCCTGATAGAACTAATCGTAGTAGCATTGCTTATCTGTTTGTTTCTTTGATTTTGTTGTACCTCTTACTAAATCTACATTTCCTCTTAATTTTGCTTCACTTATTTAAGTTTTGGGTCTTTGCACAACTGTATCTTATCAGCATATTATTTTAGACTAACATGGCATGAACTAGTTTGGATGTTTTAGAAATTACTTGCCGTATATAGAATATTGATCCCTATTATTCTTTAAAAACTTTGCTTTTTCTATATGTACATTTATATGTATGTACATGTACATTTGGAGACTGAGAATTGTCTTCTTCAAGAGACAATAGTATTTTTTTCAGTAGTAAAAGAAACCAATATTTTTGTAAGACATGAGAGGCTTATTCTAGAGGCATGGACTTTGGAAGAAAAGAGTAATTCTTAAAAGTTACCACTGATTTTTTGAAGACATGGGAGCCATATATGGGCATGGATTTCAGAAGAATAGTATAGTTCTCAAGATTATCTGTATTATGTAAATATTAATATTCATGTGCATGACCCCTGTGTGAATATTCCAAATATGCAAGAATATTTCAAAAGAATGGTTAGATATACAAATCTTTAGTAATTTTTCTATCATTCACTGTCATTTGCTACTGGCAGCATGCAGGTTTGACTAATACATAGATAATCATTTATAAGTACTGTATATCAGTTGTACTCATCACATGAAGATACATGTTTCATGTCTTTTACCTTTTATGTGAAAATCCATCTCTTTATTCATGTAGTTTTAGTGAAGAGTGTCTTGTAACTACCTTAATTTACTGAATTGGTATGTTCGTCATAATCATACCTTAAACTTGCATTTCTACTTACTGTCCAGGTGTGATCGCATTCTTTCTTTTGGGAAGGGAATGAAGCTACTAAGCTATACGAGAAGTGAACTTAGGCTATCTAATCGTCGACCTGTGACTGCCTCTTTTATGGTGGAAGTTGAAATATTTTCTCCAAGGAAGTTACAACGGGCACTCATTTTCACTGATGCAGAAATTGCAGAAGAAGACATTGAATTAGATGGAAATTGGTCGTGATTTGAGCTGGTGTACTTAGTATGGGTGAGTACTGTTTGCTGTGCGATATGACGTCAGACAAAAAAAAATCATAGCATGTTTGTAAGGTGAATTAGATAGCATTAAACAGTATGAAGAAAGAAAAAATAAGCTAAAATGTTATTCGTTGTGTTTTCTAGTTGGTGATTATCAAGTGTAGCCGATGATCATTTAGAATCAAGCCCTGAAATTGAAGATAAGTCTTAGTTGGCTTTTGTGCATCACTATTACTTAACTACTCTTCGGAATATTTGTATTCTGCATTTTTTCGGCAGCTATAGAAATGTTAACTTGTGAAAAATGCAAGTGAGAGCATTCAGAGAAGGACAAAGAGATAAGAGAGCATCCATGACATTATGGAGCTCTCGGGGTCGTTTTCTATTGGTTTTCATTGACAGTGATTGAGATTGACAGTGATTGAGCTTGTACATGAAATGGTTAGTTTGTCAATGCCTTTGCTGTAAATTCTTATTTTCCTTCCATTTTCGCTTGAAAGGTATTATTGATTGAAGGCATTTTGGATAGCAACTAATGGGCCATTTTCTTTTCTTTTTTTAAATTATTAAATCAGTAGTTTTCTATTGAAATTACAGGAGGAGCTCAAATGAGAGATGTTAAAGATTTAGAAGTATTTTCCTTATTTTTTTGTATAATGACTTTCGTATTACTTTGATATTTTAGTAATAATATTTTTTTTTATTTATTTAAATAAGTACAGTTTAGTTTTTCTACTCTTTCTGAAAAATCTCTTTAATTCATAATTTGTAATAGAGAAAAACAAAAGGCTATGTGTTTCTTTCATAATATTGTGGTTATCAAACATATAAGCAAGAAGAACTTAGGTCCGTAGTGAATTTTTTTTCTTCTTCTACTATAAGAAATATTTGCGATTTAAATCCAGAGTTGCTTTAACATTTAAGATCAATGAACTCGCCCAATCATTTAACGCATATAGTGTTGTGTACTTTCTCTCGTAAAATTTGCCTAATCAAAACACGAATAATCGAGATATCACATTTTAGTAAAAACTATGCAAGCGAACATGCATGTTTCTATGTACTTTCCACTTTGGGTTTTGGCCACAACCTTAAAAGTACTCAAGTTACTGGTCGAAATAAATTACCAGGTATCTCTTTGTAACTATTTATATACTAAGGTAGCTTTTATTGGTAATAGTTAGGACATTTTCCATATAGAAGAGAACCAACCTAACATAGTTAACAAATACTATAGATGACAGAAAGTTACATTTTAGAATAATGCTATTAGCATTATTAGTATTGGAACACCAGTTCAAGTGTCATAATGTGATGTGTTAAATAAAATACGAAATTATGTGATTCATTTAATTGTACATATCATTTAATGCCGCTTAGGTCAATATTGTAACATCAATGGTGCTAAATAACATAATTAGGGGTGGACGTGGTTCCATTTGATTCTAATTTCAAGAAAATTGAATCGAACCATGAACCAATGTTTTTTTCTGATAATGAAACCAAATGTTTAACAATCCATGTTCACCTTTTCCATGTATGTAATGTTTGTGATCATTAATAAGCGAGTCATTCATTTATAGTAGTGTTGCACTTGCCCATACGTTCCTGTTGAGAAGTTAAAGTATCACACTAACTAGTCCACTAAATTTTACTTTGAGAGAAAGTATCGACCTAAGGATGTATTCTGATTTTTGCCTGAACATTTTATTTTGTAGCATTCTCGCTCTAACTGCAAACAAATTGTGTATTTAACTTTCCTTTTTTTTTTTTTTTGGTTGCGAAAACTCCTTTTTTGAGCATTAAAATTGCTCTATTACATATTCAGTTAATCTAAGGCTCACTTCTTTTTCCTGGATCATTGATGCAGTCATTAAAACTTTAGTTTCCTAAGATCCTATTTGTATATTGTGAGAATTTTGAGGCCATTTCACAAAATTATGTGCCAGTAATTAAATTAATAAAACAGAAATTAGTTGGGAGACATTATTAAATTTATTTGGATTAAATGGACCTAAATTTAATAGTTTGGAACTGTCGGTTGATGTGATTCCTGTGTTAGTCATTACTTCATACCGTGGACTATTAATGGGCTTTCAAAATTTGTTCTTTCCCCTTAACTAAATCAAACTAGTTCCAGATAGTGAAGGCCGGGTCAGTTTGTGATAACAGAGATCCGTCGTTAATGGGCTTCTTAAATTGTAGAGAGTGAAACCGATGTATCACATATTCATATTTCAGGCATTTAAAGATCAAAATGCAAAAATCATGTAGAAAAGTTTTTTAGTCAGAATTCAGGTATTAATTTAATTATTAATATTAATATAAAATAATTCAACCCTATTTCAATTCATCCCAATTTTATTCTAAACCCTAGATTAAGATTTGTCTCTCCTCTCACCATTCGCCATCACCGGCGCCGCTGCAAGAAGACTAGCGCCGTTGCAAGAGAGTGGCGCGACAACGACCTAAGCTGCATCGTCCACAAGATGTTCCCATGAACATCGCTGCTGTGAGGATCTCCACCCAAGATGCGCCATGTGGAGATGTTGATGGTGTTGGTGGCGATGGACGATGGTGGTGGTGTTGACGGTATTGGTGACAGTTTTTTAGGTCGAAGATGTGTGGCAACAGTTTTGCAGGTGAGGTGTTGATGTCTGCGCCGCCGCTTTTCCTATGCAAAGAAGATGTGCTGCGTCGCTGCTTGTGGTAGTATGTGTTGTGGTGTTGCTAGTACTGTGTGTGGTACCTCTAGTAGTGTTGGTGCTATAGTGGTGATGGTGGTAACGGAGCGGTGGTGGGGTAGTGCCTAGTGGTGATGCTGGTGGTTTTTTTTTGTTGGAGCGTTGGTGGTGGTCGTGTTTTGGTTTTGTCGAGGGAATTGTGTGGTTATTGTTGGTAGTGGAACTGGTAGTGTTGGCGGCGAGACGGTGGTCGGTGGCGATGACGGGGTGAGGATGGTGGAAAGTGGCGGTGGTGGCAGTGGAGGTGGTGGTATGTAATGTGACCAACTATTTGCCCTGTGGTTGACTATTTGATTACCTGTAACCTTAAAATTTGACAATTGTCACCAACAAATCCGAAAATATGTGATTGATAGATAAACTGTGTAATATCCCGACATTTCGTAGAATAGAATTTAATTTATGTATACTATATTTTAATATTTTGAAAGTTTAGGGACTAAAGTGTAGATAAAGTAAAATTTAACTCTATTTGGATTAAAATGTAGATAGTGTCGGAGCAATAATAAGTAAATGAATATTAGGCTCATTGGAAGATCGTAATTAATTATGCATATTAAGTTTCAGAAAAAGTTAATTTGGACTATCAAAGTCTAAGTTATTGAGGTCGAAAAATATAGAATTAAATATTATTATTAGTATTATTATTTTAATTGAGTATGTAATGAATTTAAAAGTTTCATGGGTGACATGCTACATTTTTGGTAGGTAATAGGTTAGTGATTGCTTTGTTTATTAAATATAGTTAGAGAGAGAGAGAGAGAGAGAGAGAGAGAGAGAAGAAGGGAAGCTACGTGTATGAGAGAGAGTAGCTTTGTTGTTTTCCTTTCAATTTGTTTAAAAAAGTGCCACATGTAAAGAAGGTATTTGTTCAGTGATATAGTTGGTTGGCAAGACCTAGTCAAACATTTTGTTTCAATTACAATTTCCCCAACTTCATCCAATTATCTACTATCTCTTACATGTTTTCTCACACCACACCTTACTAGTTAGGGTACTAGTACCTATGTAGATAAATAAATCATACGGAAAACAGAGGGGGGGAGGGGGGGGGGACACAAAAATATTTGTGCACAGCTCATAGTAACATAAGATACAAAAGAAGAAAAGAAAAGAAGGGAACGTGATTCTTTGTCTTCCAAAAATTCAAAGCAGTTTAACAAGGTAGGATATGAGATGCAGCGTTTTTATGTCCCATCTAATTATTTTTTACATGTTGATGAATTTTCGTGCTCGTGAAAGTTAAAGTTATTATATGAAATGCTATGATATGAATGATATGGCCATTTTGGCACAATGAAATGATATGATATGTGCTCTTATCGGATTTCAAAAAATATGCGATGGTATGATATTTTGACACATGTTTTAAAAATTATTATTCGGGATTGCACCATTAAATCTGATATCCTACCGAGCATTCCTATTTACTAACCATTTTCCTTACGCCTCACATGTTAGATTGGGTCGTATCGGAGCGTGGTGATTCAATGGTGTGATTGTGCCTCATTTCACTGGACAAAAATATAAAGAATTTGGCACGTAACTTTATTTCTTTGCCATAGACATTTATTCACAACTAAATTATCGTTTATGTTTATTTGTTACATGGATATTTATTTTAAATTGTGCTTTTATTTAAAAGTTTGAATTCAAAAGTGTTTGATTTCCTTAGTGTGTTATTTTACCTTAATTTCCGTGATTTCAAGAAGAAAAATTGGGAATATTGATTCAGAATATTATCTTTGTGTCACTGCTTGAGGGAGCATTAAATAATATAGTTTACGTGTAAATGTTATTTTACTTTAAATAAAGTTGGAATTAAATATTATTTTATCCATCAATCTCACTGAACATGTTCTTACTGTTAAGGTAATAAATGTTGATAGGCTGCCCCATAACCTGGTGATGTAGGGTGGGAATTTCTTTAATAAAATAAGACAAATTTGATAGTATTTTCACCATTTGGGGCCGTGTCCACATATTGAAGAAAGAGGAAACAATATTATGCTTGAATTGGAATTATGATTATCCTATAATTCATTACTACAAATGTACATGGGTGCGTACAAAGTCAATGATAATTATTCCATACGTGTAAAAAGTGTTTCTCTCTCAAATTTTTAAATTGCAGACTAATTTTATGTGCCCTTTTTCTAATGTACACGTGAAAGATATGTCATAGAAAAATATTCTTTCTAGAAATTAATATATATTTCTTTTTCTACAAATTTAAGTAAATTACCTTTCATAATTTTATATTTTATGGCATGCCACATTGTTCTAAAAAAATAAATAATAATAAATGAAAATTTGGTAACGATTCAAGCCTTTAAAAGTTTTGGGTTGTTAAAAACTGTGACCTATAATTTTTTCATTTGTGATCAATTAAATAAACCATGACCTATAAATTTTTTATCTGTGATCTCGAAATAATCTGTGACCAATTAATTTGATAATACATGACCGATAAATAAGTTTGTGACTTATAATTATGAACCTATGACCAATAATGGTATAAATG